TTCCCTGGATCTCCCTGAAAACCCACAGGAATGTGTTAGTTCTCCTCGAAAATTCCCATTTCCTGGGTGCTGGTCCCAAACTAATCCCACCTCCTCCAGGAGGACCAACCAACTCCTTCTTGTGTCTCCCTAATTCCCAGTTTTTGGGTTAAATTTGGAGCAATTCCTTAAAACCAGCAGGAATGTTTCAATTCCCCTCTAAAATTCCCATTTTCTGGGTGCTGATCCCAAACTAACGCCACCTGCTCCAGAGGGACCAACCAAGCCCTTCTTGTGTCTCCCTAATTCCCATTTTTTTGGTTAAATTTGGAGCAATTCCCTGAAAACCAGCAGGAATCCATTAGTTCCCCTCTAAAATTCCCATTTTTTGGGTGCTGATCCCAAACTAACGCCACCTTTTCCAGAGGAACCAACCAACCTCTAATTATCTCTCCTTAATTCCTGTTTTTAGGAAAAATTTGGAGCAATTCCCTGAAAACCAGCAGGAATCCATTCGTTCTCCTTTATAATTCCCATTTCCTGGGGCTGGTCCCAAACTAATGCCAACTTTTCCAGAGGGACCAACCAATCCCTTCTTGTGTCTCCCTAATTCCCATTTTTTGGGTTAAATTTAGGTAATTCCCTGAAAAACAGCAGGAATCCATTAGTTCCCCTCTAAAATTCCCATTTCCTGGGTGCTGACCCCAAACTAACGCTGCCTTCTCCAGGGGAACCAACCAACCTCTTAGTGTCTCTCCTTAATTCCTGTTTTTAGGATAAATTTGGAGCAATTCCCTGAAAACCAGCAAGAATGTGTTAGTCTCCCTTTGTAATTCCCATTTCCTGGGTGCTGACCCCAAATTAATCCCACCTTCTCCAGAGGGACCAACCAATCCCTTCTTGTGTCTTGCTACTTCCTATTTTTAGGTTAAATTTGGAGCAATTCCCTGAAAACCAGCAGGAATGTGTTAATTCCCCTTTAAAATTCCCATTTCCTGGGTGCTGATCCCAAACTAATCCCACCTTTTCCAGAGGGATCAACCAACCTCTAATTATCTCTCCTTAATTCCTGTTTTTAGGATAAATTTGGAGCAATTCCCAGAAAACCAGCAGGAATCCATTAGTTCCCCTCTAAAATTCCCATTTCCTGTGTGCTGATCCCAAACTAACACCACCTTCTCCAGAGGGACCAACCAACTCCTTCTTGTATCTCCCTAATTCCCATTTTTTGGGTTAAATTTGGAGCAATTCCCTGAAAACCAGCAGGAATCCATTCGTACTCCTTTATAATTCCCATTTCCTGGGTGCTGACCCCAAACTAACACCACCTTTTCCAGAGGGACCAACCAACCTCTTATTGCCTCTCCTCAATTCCTGTTTTTAGGATAAATTTGGAGCAATTCC